TGAAAGATAAAAAGACATATTTATTTAAGAACAAATACTCAATGTAGCGTGGAATCTAAAAGATGAAACAAAAGTAATGTAGAATACGATGATAGAACGTATTAAAAAATCATCTATTAACGTTCTTGAAGAATCAAAATGCAACGGGCCATTAGCGAGAGACTTGGTGGTGTAATGATGAGATCCAAGTTGCAATAGAAGCAAAAGGAGAGTACTATAAAACATGACAAAAAAACTAAAAAGGATAAGAACTTTAAAAATTACAAACTTGCAAATAAAAAAGTTAAAAAAAGAGGGGAAGAGGAGTTAAGTACCAAACATATGATAATCTTTACTCTAAACTAGACAAAAAAGATGGGGAAAAAGTATATATAAACTTACTAAATTAAGAGAAATGAAAACTAGGGATGTTAATAGTATTAAATATGTAAAGAGTGAAAACTCCAGTGTTTTGCTGCAAAAGAGGAAATTAAAGAAAGGTGAATAAATTACTTTGAAAAGTTACTAAATGAAAATCATATAGAAAGCTGAGACATTGAGGCCTATAGAAATCATAGATAGATTAGAGATTATACACTTTTTCGTAAAACTAAGATGTCGGAGGTAAAGGAAGCATTACAGAAAATGAAGACTAGAAAAACTTCAGGACCGAATGATATACCTATAGAGGTTTGGAAGTGTCTTGGGGATGTTAGGATATCATGGTTAACAAAATTATTCAACAAAATTATAATGACTAAGAAAATACTCGATGAGTAAAGGAAGTGTCTTTTAGTACTATACATAAGAATAAGGGAGGCATACAAAGTTGCTTATCAAGGTATTGAACTAATGAGACATACAATAAAACTTAGGAAGAGAGTGATTGAGCAAAAACTAAAGTTTGAAACGCTGGTCTGAGAATCAATTTAGATTTATGCCATAGAGATCAGCAATGAAAGCTATATACTTACTTCGAAGACTAATGGAGAGGTATGTGGGAATAATAAGGGCTTCATATGGTCTTTATAGACTTAGATAAGGCATGTTATAAAGTCCCTAAAGATATTCTACAGAGGGGTCTAGAGAAGAAAAAGTTACTATTAGGTATATTAATTTGATTAAGGATAAGTATGAAAATGTGGTTACTTTAGCGAGAACAACAACAAGAGAGTGTAATGAATTTCCAATCATTGTAGGCTTACATCAGGATTCTCCTTTGATTTCATATCTTTTTGTGCTGATTATAGATGAATTGACTAGACATATTCAGTTGTATTCCATAAAATTGAATATATGGAATGCAACTTTAGTAAAGGGGAAATTCAAATTGAGAAGTAGTAAAAATTGAAGATTATGAGATACCGAAGAGTAAATATTTTGAATAGTTAGGTTCTATAATTCATAAAATCGCAGGATGAACTGAATGGAGGAATGCGTCTTGTGTGTTGTATGATAGATGCATATTCCTCAAGCCAAAAGAAAAATTCAATAGAACAGCTATGCGACCCGCTATGCTTAAAAAGACTGAATGTTGAGTAACTAAGAAACATGTTCAAAAATTGAGTGTGGCCAAAATGAGAGTGGTAAAACTAGGAAGGATAGAATTATGAACGATTATATCCGTCAAAAAGTAGAGGCAGCATAAGAAACAAATTAAGGGAGAGTCGACTTACGTGATTTGGACATATTTATAAACTACCAACTATTGCACCGATGAGAAATGATAGCTATTAACAGTAAGCATAGGGGTACACAAAGTCAAAAATAACTTTAAATGAAATAGTGAAAAAAAGATATGATAACTTATGGTTTCACAGAAAATATAATCCTTCATAGAGCACAATGACGAAAGAAGATTCAAGTAGCCAACTCCAAAAAAGTTGGGGCAAGGCTTTGTTAAGTTAAGAAGAATATTCACCAGAATTTTCAGCAATTATATGCTTTGAGAATTGTGCGACGCAATTCAAACCCTAGGTGTGATGCCTAAAGAATCCTAAGAGTGATTTCTAGTCAAGATTATCGTTCATGGGACTGTTACTAGCCAAATTATTGTCCATAGGGTAGTGTTCACAGCCTAGAACATTGCTGGTTTTTTTCTTTTTTTTGCTTCTATCCTACCGCAATTGTGGTATCAAAGTGAAAATATCCTATATTTTGCGTGATGAATATTGGCATATGATGATGGAAATCCCAGATTTTAAAGGAAGGGATGATCCTTCAATATTTTGCAATTGACTTGCTTCTATTAAGGAGTATTTCGTTAGGTATAATATGTCAAGTTATTGAAGAGTGAGGTTTACCAAGATGAAACGTACAGGCTTGGCAAAATTTGGTAGTTTGAAGTTGAAGGAGATTTAAGAAAATCGAGATTGTTGTCAATCAACACATGACAAGAGATGAGAGCTAAACTTCAAGAGAAATATATACATTCAAATTCTTGTAGCAAGTTGTGCAACCAAGTTACTAATCTACAACAAGGAAGCGTATCTATAGTTGAATATATTCAAAGATTTGAAGAACTAATATTGCAAAGTTAAATCGTAGAAGAGCTTCTCCAAACAATTGCTCGATTTAAGGTTGATTTAAGAGTTGATATAACGTTAAAATTACTTCGGCAGTCACTATATAACGTGGAGCACACATTCAAAGAGTCATTTGGTACATAAATGTATCTAAATTTTCTCAATCGAGTAAATATGTTACAATTTATTCTTCCCAAAGAACTAAAGCTCAAAAGAGTTTGCATTCTCATTAGGAGCCAGAGAAGGTTCATCAAAAGCAACTCAACGTAGCAACTGATAATTTAGGGTGACGAAGATCAAGTAGATGAACCTACACAATCTCAAGCCACTTTTCCAATTATTGTGCAGATGAATGTACACCAGTGTTGTGAAAAGCGAGCCTAGACGAGCGCCTAAACTAGAAGCAAAGCAAAGCGAGTCTTGGTTGCCTTGAACATCTCAAACAAAGCGAGGTTAAGTCAAGCGATGAAAAAGAGAATCTAGGCAATGAAGCGAGCCATACGAGAAAAGCGAACAATTTTTTTATTTTCTCCTCCTCCTCCTCCTCCTCTCCCCCCATCCTTCTTCTTCCTTGACATTAACCAAACTCTAATAGGGATGATGTTATATGTGTATATATATATAATAAATTAATTGATTGATTCATCTAACAGTATTATATAACAATTTGTATTATTATGATTAGATGATGTTGAATGCTCAATTTTGATGTGAATACTCTTATTAATCAATTTGCTATATGCTCTATTTGATTAATCAATTTGTGAGTGCCCTATTTAGTGGTAATATTAATCAATCACGGTGGAAGTCATACCCACATTTGCTAACTTTACATTTAAATGGTGTGATTATGTCAAGTGATTATTTTTAGAATACAATAATGTTCAATATTTAATATTTTGTCTATTTAAAATATGTTAATGTTTATTATTTTAGTTGCATTTAAATATTTTGTATTTGTAAAGTTAAAATTTGGGTATTTAGGAATAATCAAATTAAAATATTTGGTTATTTTTTATATTGTTTGTTTTGCTTCTATGATGTGCTCGCTTAGTTTCTCGCTTCTTGCCTAGGCTTTCAAGAGATCGGTTCGCTTTACGCCTTAAATAACACTAACGTACACAATTTTTATTACGTGGCGCTTAAGAAAATGGAAGGAACAACTAGTAATGGATCAAATTTGCTTTTATAAATGACTAAATTACTATATAAGAGCTCCAAAATAGTGCCAAAAAAAGTTAACTAACGAAATTCTTACCATTGATGACTCTCGATTGGTAATATCGGCATCTTAAGGGCATGATTTTTTTGCTTCTTCCAAGAATCTAAGTGAGTATGAAGAGCCATCAATACTATCATATTCCAACAGCGATCAACAAAACACCAAGGTTACACGTAATGAAAATATCACAGTAAACAAAGAGATAGAATCAAAAACTATTACTATAAGGTTGAATGAACAAGAGGAAGGGAAGGCTACAATAGAAGGGCATACAACCAAGCTTTGTGTTCAACATCAATTCCAAGAATTATTTTTTATGCACTTTGTTACAATGATTGATTTTGCCCATCCAAAGAAGTTCAACGACACAATCAAGAAGATCAATCTCCAAATCTGTATTATATTTTCTCAATTAAAGAAGAAAAGGAGGCATGATCTCAAGGCTTTTCAAAGGCGGACACTCGCAAGTTCAAAGTTTTTGCAATTTCATACCTCCAAATTCAACTCGTAAGATGCTCAAGAAAATACAAATTCAGAGACACAAAAAACTATGAAATTTGGCTTCCTTTGAAGACAAAAACTCACATGGCACCTTGCGTAATTGTATTTGGGTCTGGTCTTATTTTTGAGTAACTTAAATTATTTTTATCTTAGGTGTCTATTAGGGTTTTTTAGACTTGAGGGTATTTTTATAATTATTAAATTTGTAGAAACAAGTCATAGTACGACAAGTGGGTCGTCTTTTGGATCAAATATTTAGTATTATATGTTTGTAGATATGGAGTCTAGTTCTAGGCTATAAAAGTTTCCTAATCAGTAAATTACTTGGAGTACAAGTCCTTTTAGGATTAGCAAATAGTGAAATACTTGGAGGGTCTATATATAGCTATGTAATGTTTTTAATAAGTATAGAAAGCATATTTACCAGATTTTTCAGCAATTATATGCTTGAGAATTGGTTGATGTAATTCAAACCCCAAGTGTGAAGCCTAAGGAACGTAGGAGTGATTCCTAGTCAAGATTATTTTTCACGGAAATGTTACTAGCCAGATTACTTTTCACAGGAGGACTGTTCACAGCCTTGAACAGTGCTTTTTTTTTGCTCGCTGCTGTCCTACATCTCAAGTAAAGACTCACCTTCTTCATATGATGCTATATCCATCCTACCAAGTAGCCAATCATTGCTTTCATTACTATCCTTCAAAGATAAAGAGGATGAATTATGTCGCGCAAAGCACATTGAAATCCCAATGCTAGGATCAAATCATTCATACCTAGCCCTTAAAATGTACCAACACAGTAGGGGGGAAGTGAGCACCTTTGAACCTTGAGCTTGATCCCCAAGGCATGCGACGCACGCACTTCATCAATGTCCCCTCGCCTGAGACCAGTTGAGGTGCAAGGGGTGCACCTTGACTTTTGCACACTGCTAATACCAAGAGCCAATATGGCAAAAAAAATTTAGGCAAGGACACTAATAATCCAACTAGGTTAATGTCAGTCCCACACCATCAAGATCATAAAAAACCTTGTCCTACCTTATTAAGCAACCAAAACCAACCAAATTTATACGAATTCTGATCCTAGAAGACCTAATTTTGACATTGCAAGACTACTGAAAACTAAAAAATTTAAAAAAAAAATGAAAAAAATGGGTTGATTTCCAAGGATACTTAGATGTCCACCAGACTTAAGGTTGACTATCTATGAGGCTAGTTTTTTTTTTAAGCTTCAAAAACGAGGCTAGGGGTTCAACAATGGCAGTCTCTGCAAACCCATCACAGAATGAACTGTTGCAAGGCAGAATGGTAAAGGTTTTTTCATTCTAGCCGTAAAGTCGATATTTTCAACCAAAATGTCTTCCATCTGTACTTAAGATAGTATAATATGTATGATTTGAAAGTTCAAATAACTTTGAAAACAACAAATCAAGTGAGTGATAGTGAACGGAAGATTTAGATGAACCTTAAAATGCACTGTTTTTCATTATGGGAATTGAGAACCTGCGTCTAGCGGATAGTACATTGGTCTCCGTCCATTCAAAGAAACTTCTTTACATGGACCAAATACTTCCATTTTCTTCATCAGTACATTCTTTTGGACAACCTGATGCAGGTCGATGAACAATGACATAAAATGCAAAGGAAGCATTTCAATTTACTCCCAGATTCTAGACCAAGGATTCTTAAACTAATATGTGTGCACCTTAGACAAGTTCATAGTGAGTCTGTCAACATTTGAAAATCTCATACAAAAGTTTGTTGTCATTGGAGAGGAGCACAATTGGAAATTCAGCAAATTTACTGCAACTCTGGGAAAATAGTTGGAAGTATTTGTGCATAACAGTCTGTTAGTTAGTTAGTCCTAGCTGGCATTGTAACCAAGATTGTATATAAATACATGTACACTGGACTGAAAATAGTTGAATGGAAAATCTCTTCTTCCTCATGGTTTCTGTGTGTGTGAGTATCTGTCTTCTTGCTCAAGCATACTATGAAATCTAACAAGAACAACATAATTAACATGTATTCATATTTTTAAATTTTTGAGAGAGAGAGAGAGACCTTGACATCGTGAACAGCTCGCAATTGCAAACCAGGAGCGAAATCGAAGAAGCCTTCGACAAGGGCGTTATGTTCTTCGAATTCGTAGTTCAGCGAAAGGTACTTGGATTTGAAGACCAATTGGGGCTCGGAAATCTCACCTTTTTTGTCGTTCTGAAACGAGAGCTTCAACTTCGCCAGACTATCGAAGAACTTGCAAGAGATCTTGTGGAAGAAAATGGAGCTGTCACTGTCAAACTCTGACGTCACTCTTATCGGCGGTCGTTTAGGAAGAGCTAAGAATCCTCCTCCTCCTCCACCACCACCACCACCAGCAGTAACGCCGGCGTAAGTTGGTGGTGGTGGAGGGTCGCCTGAAGTTGACTGTGGGACCAGGGAGTTAGGGTTTCGTGATATTGAAATTGAGCCTACCATTGCTGTTGGTGTCAAGTTTCTATTCTACTGATGAGGAGTGAGAAGAGAGAGACATTGTTAGTAGATAGTATTGCATGATTTTCGGCGGACACTTAGATGCAGATATTGATTTGGCCATAATTTCTGCAAATTTAAGGCTGTGTTTGCATTGTGTCTGAAAGACTGTTTTTTATTTTCCGATACAAAAATGCAAGTAAAAATATGTTTGGCCAGAGTCCTTTTTAAAACAAATTTTTTTTAAGGCAAAAAAAGGAAAAACACAGAGAACAAAAGAAATAATTTACTTTTTCTTTTTTTCTCTCTCCGGCCATCTTCTAGGCAATACATCAAGGCAACTCCAGCTGTTGTTCAACCTCGACGACTGATCCATCTCTAGTGAAACATGCTCGACTAAGAAGGCGTAATCTCCAACTGTTGTTCTAGATCTAATCTTCATCGATTGATACTCTGGCGAAACATCTTCAAAAGATTTGATCTTCTACCTTCGAATTTGTTCCAGATCTAGTAAAATAATGTTAGATCTATAGTGTTTGAATTTTTTAGGATTTTTTATAGATCTATTTTGTCAAATTTTTGAAATATCTATTGTGTTATAATGTGGATTGTTGTGTGTGGAGTTTGATCTTATGATTTTTTTTTTTTAATCTTGGTTCAGATCTGTTGATTTTGTGTGCTAGTGGTTGAAAAATGAGTCTGTGATTCAGAGTGTAGATCCCTCCGACGTTTACTATTGAGTTTTCAAGGGGTTCACATAAATTATAATAATAGTTAAATTATGGATATGCCAAAAGGACGTTTGTGTGTGGTGTTGGACTTTGGTAGATTAATTCCATCAAGTTTGATGTATTGAATCTATTTTTTATGAAACAATCAAATCCAAACAACATGTTTGTTCTCATTGTTTTTTAGGTTACTGTCCAAACAAGTTTTACTATTTTCTATTATATAGACTATTTTTCAAATCATATAACCAAACAAATTTTGTGATACAAAAACACCAAAACACAAACTCTTCTCAAAAATTATTTTCGTATACTATTTTTTAAGATGCAATCCAAACACGCCCTTATAGCTGGGTTAAATTTTAACTTTATAAACATAGAAAGAGGAAAAAACAATTATTATCGTACCTTTTGAATGGAGGGTGGTCGTGCTTCGTATCCACTTTAGGTTTGGCTTCCTTCTAGTTTTTCAAGAATGGAAGAATCATATGATTTTTTTAAATGGTCAAGATTGCTAAAAAATTAATTATAATTAATTAATTTGATAAAGTTTATAATAAAAATTTTTAATTTAAATTTATGGTCATCATGTTTCAAAGATCAAGTTTTGAAGATTTCAAGAAAATAGGAGTTCAAGTGTTAAAGTCAAATTAAAAGATATACATTGCACATCTTTGCCGATAATTCACATGACGAGGGTGTTTGGATTGTTGAAAAAGGGGGTTTATACACTTAATTTCACAATTAACTTAAGAATTTATAATTGTGGTAGATTAGGTTTAAAATTGGTAATTGTTCAAACAATGATTTCTTTTGATAAACCTATCCACCCACCCCTCCCTCTAAATTGCGTATAGCAATTCCATGCGTATAATCGTAATAAAAGGTCCACATCGAATCTATCCCTCGATTCATTTTCATAATTTCTAATTGGTATTAGAAGTTTGGTTTCCTTGAAGATTGCATTTAGACATTTGTAGGCATATTTTATGTTTGCTTGCTTAACCTAGTTTTTTTTTTTATTTGAGAATTATTGGGATTACCAATTAGACTCGAATGGATTCTTAAAGAGAAGGCGAATCAATCATGAAACCACCACTCTTCATCGTAAAAATTATGCATACTAGAAGGCATAAATGAGAGTTTTTCTAAAGTCGATCAATAAGCATGTGTAGTTGTCGGTATTGGAAGGTTGAACCCCTCCGAGGTTGACTGCTACTGAGGAGACCAACATGGTGACTAGACCAAAACCCCCGAGCACTTGGATCACCATCAAGTATGAAAGTGTAGGGTGGAACTCAAACTGCTTAAATGTGATGTCTAATGTTGTCTCTCCCAATGAGTTCCGGAGGATCTCCATTTGTGAGATTTCCAAATAAGCATGGGATCTCTTAAAAGTTTCCCATGAGGGGAAAACCTCAATGAAGATTTTTCATCTCCAAATGTAGACCTCTCAGTTCAAGACTTTGAGGACGCAAGAGGATAAAATATTTAGCGATTTTTATGTTAGGTTGAGTGATATTGTTAATTCATCCTTTGCATTAGGTCAATTTTGACTAGAGACACTTCCTACTAAGATCGCCGGCCTTAGAAACAATAGTTAGTCTAGAGAATGTGTCTATAGAAGACCTAATTAGGTCAATTTTGACTTCCGAGATGGATCTCCCATTGCCCAAAAAGTCGAAGGGCATGGCTTTGAGCTCTATTAGAGAAGAGTGAGATGAATTTGAGTCACTTTGTTTGGGAAAGAGGACCTAGCCTACTTTGTGAGAGAGTTTGGGAAGGATGTCAAGGCTAGAGGAGTCGAGTCCTCGCATGTCAAGTAGATCTAAAATTCAGCAAATGACTGATAAAGAGGGCTTCAATGCTACAAGATGGCTTGTGAATGTCCTAATCAGAAGAAGAAATATTTATCCAAAGGGAGGAGGAAAACAATCAAAGCTAAGTGGAGCGATAAAGATAGTGAGTCCACGTTAAGTGAGGACTCTTCTTCTCAAGATGATGAGGAAAATTTTACAACTTTCATTGGCTCACATTTCTCCCCTTCAAGATGTGAAGTTAAGAGAGATAGAGAGAGAAGAAGAAGAAGAATCAAGTCCTACCACGAGGGTAACTAACTTGGATGTTAAAGTCAACTCAAGTGAGGATGATACAAAGAGTATTGAGGATATTCATAATGCTTATGCTCAATTATGTGAGGAGTTCAACAAACAAAAGAAGAAAGAGTTAATATTGAGCCCGAGGCTCAATTCAAGAGAAGAATAGAAAAAATTACTCCAAGTGAACTTAAAGAAGCCCAAAGCTCATATTTGTGAGCTTGAAGAAGAAAATAAGTCCTTAAATTATAGTTGAGCTTTATATAGAGAGAGAGTGTCATGGTCTAATTAAATCTAAGAAGTGTATTGAGTCTAGATTGATAAAACTTGATAAAGAGCTTAATGAATCAAGTGAACTCTCCAAGAAACTTTCCCTAGGATTGAAAAAGCTTAATAAAATGTTTTCTATAGGAAAAAGTATTGGTGACAAAAAAGGATTATGATACATTCATGAACACATCACCACCACTTCTTCCAAGATTACATCTGTTAAGGCTAATGTATACTCATCACCCCCATGAGCGTACCATAAGTCCTCCAAATACTAGAATCGGTAAGAAGGGTAGGAATATAAAGAAGAAAGTTGTTAAAGAACCCTATGCCAAATAATTTGTATGTTTAACTTGTGAAGAGTACATACACTATAGTACACATTGCATTTATTCTAGGAAAGTCATGTATAAATAAAAAGCTCACTCACCCAGCTAACCAATCCAAGGTCTTAAATAACTAAGTCATACATCTTAAAAAGTTTATGGGTAGGTCTAGTCATCCTAAGCCAAGGAAAGCATCACCACCAAAAGGCTCACTAGCTAGGTTGAAAAAGACTATTTCTACTCCCAAGGTCAAAATTGATTAAGAAACTTTTGAAGAGAAGAGAGTAAGTCATCCACTCATTCCCTAAGCTAACTCGAGATATTTGAAGGGAAAACAAGTGTGGGTAAGGAGTGAGGACCTTGAGAGGCTCATTACCTCAACCAAATTGGAAGTCCTGATGGCTACGAAGGATGTTGAGTCACCTAAGAAGTAGGTGAGGTGAGAGTGTGGACTTAGGTACATAGTCATGCATTGTATCTTATATACTAGGTTCATGCATTATAAATATTTTTCTTTGATTATTTACTTTGCTTTTGTTACATGAAAAAAAAATAGAATTTAAAACCCAAAAACAGCTTGATGTTAGTTGGACATCCTTTTCGAATTTATGGGTAATTGCTTTATTTTTCCTTTGTTATTGCATGTTATGCATATTTTCTATTTTTAAGTATTTTTGAAAAATACTAAAGCATTAGTGAAGAAAAAATCAAAAAGATTTTCTTTTCTTGTTTTTCTATTGTTAATCATGGTAATCACACGTTGATTTGAATTGTGGTGTATTCATCTTTAAATCAAATTTAAGTGTATTAGGATCATGTTTGTAATTAGTTAGTTTCATGAAGTATTTTTGTAAATCTCAACCTATTTGTTAGATCATATTTGTAATTAGCTAATTTCTTAGACTCTATTGTAAAATCTCAACATATTTTATGGTCATGATTCTATCAAGTTTAAAATCCAAAAGCGTCATTGAAGGGGGGTGATCAAGCGTCAAAGTTACATCATTCAACTTATGTATGCACTTTTATGCTTAGGACAAATGTAATAACATAGAAACCTAAGATGAACCCATAGTTATTTTAACTTAGGATGATTATGATGAAAGTGGAATTGAAAGCTATTTGCTTATGACTCCTAGGTGATTTTAAAAGAAATTTTTTTCTAAATCATTTATGTATTTTGAAAATATAGTTTGAGTCATAATTAGACCCCTCTTTGAGCAACACTTTTTAGTGCTCAAGAGGACAAGTTTTTGCATAGTTTTAGACTTAAAAACTTGTAGGGATCGATCTATACTCACTACCCTTCGCTAGAGCGGTCTCTTTATGACTTAGAGAAGGAAATGAGAAAAGGCCAAGGAAGATAACACAGGGCTCACTCTATGAGCTCGCTTGAGCAGTCTCATGGTCGCTCGAGCAGTGTTTGTCTTAGTCGTGTTTGAAATGTTGTTTTCACTCTAGCAATAACCACCTTATGACTGCCCCCCAACTGATTGGCTGGTCGTTTGTGAATTTGAGTTTTTTTATTTATTAAGACTACCCTTATTTCGAACTTATAAATAGGGAGAGCATTTTTCACATCTAGGTTAATCTTCTTGAGCCTCTAGAGAGATTGTAAATAGAGAAATTCATTACTCTATCTTGAGAGCTTCTACCACAACCTAGATCACTTAGATCCAAAGGATACCACTAGTAATTCTACCTAATCTCACAAATTGGTGTTGAAGAAATTGTTTGAAAAACCCATTGGCATGTTCATATTAA